GATTGGAAGAAGGCCAATGTGGCCTTTCCTCCCTTTCTTCAAGAAAGGGAGGAAAGTGGATCTGACAAACTACAGGCCCGCCTGACCTCTATCCCGGGGAAGGTCTTAGAAAAGATTATCAAAGAGACCATTCTTAACAGATTGGCTGAGGGATAGCCAGCATGAGTTGGTTGCGGATAGGTCTTGCTTGACCAATCTTATTTCCTTTTACGACCAGGTGACCTATCACCTGGTCAAGGGAGACAAGATTGATGTGATATACCTGGACTTTAAAAAAGCCTTTGATTTGGTATCCCATGATCACCTCTTAGCAAAATTGGCTAACTGCAGCCTCGGCCTCACCACGATCCACTGGCTGGGGAACTGGCTCCGTGGTCAGACCCAGAGGGTGGTAGTTGATGGAAGCCCATCATTCTGGTGTGCTGTGACCAGTGGGATCCCTCAAGGCAGTGTCCTTGAGCCTATACTATTCAACATCTTCATTAATGATGTATGTGGACATTGGTATCAGAAGCGGACTGGCCAAGTTCGCTGATGACACCAAACTCTGGGGTAAAGCGTCCACACCTGAGGACAGGAGGGCGATCCAGGCTGACCTTGACAGGCTCAGGAAATGGGTGGACAAGAACCTGATGGTGTTTAACACCGAAAAATGCAAGGTTCTCCACCTTCGGGAGGAAAAACCTGCAGCATCCTTATAGGCTCGGCAGTGCTACGCTGCCTAGCACTATGGATGAATGCGACTTGGGGGTCATGATTGACCACAAGATGAACATGAGCCATTAATGTAATGCTGCATCTAGTAAAGCGCGCAAAATGCTGGTTTGCATCCATAAATGCTTCTCAAGCAAATCCCGGGACATCATTCTGCCATTGTACTCGGCCTTGGTGAGGCCGCAGCTAGAGTACTGCATCCAGTTTTGGACTCCACAATTCAAAAAGGATGTGGAGAAGCTTGAGAGAGTCCAGAGGAGAGTCATGTGCATGATCAGAGGTCAGGAAAACAGACCTTCTGATGACAGGCTGAGAGCTATGGGACTCTTCAGCCTGGAAAAGCACAGGCTCAGGGGTGATCTGGTAGCCACCTATAAGTTTATCAGGGGTGCTCACCAGGATCTGGGGGAACGTCTGATCACCAGAGCACCCCAAGGGATGACCAGATTGAATGGTCACAAACTCCTCCATGACCATTTCAGGCTGGATATAAGGAAGAACTTCTTTACTGTCCAAGCCCCCAAGGTTTGGAATAGACTGCTGCCAGAGGTGGGTCAAGCACCTACTTTGAACACCTTCAAGAGACATTTGGATGTTTATCTTGCTGGGATCCTATGACCCTTGCTGACTTCCTGCCCCTGGGGCAGGGGGCTGGACTCGATGATCTTCCGAGGTCCCTTCCAGTCCTAGTGTCTATGAAATCTAAGACACCAAACTATGGGGAAGTGTGGTCTCATCTGAGGACAGGCTGGTGATTCAGGCCAACCTGGACAAGCTTGCAAGGTGGGTGGATCAAAACCTGATGGCATCCAACACTGAGAAATGCAAGGTGCTCCGCCCTGGGAAAAAGAATTCACATCATACCTATAGGCTCAGCAGTGCTATGCTCACTAGCACCACGACCGAAAGAGATTTCGGGGGTCATGATTGGCTACAAAATGAACATGATCCAACAATGCAACGATGCAGCTGGCAAAGTAAACAAAACTCTGGCTTGCATCTATCGATGCATCTCGAGCAAGACCCAGGATGTCATCCTCCCGCTGTACTCGGCCTTGGTACTGGGCTGGAGCATAACATTCAGTTCTGGGCTCTGAACTTTAGGAAGGATGTGGAGAAGCTTGAGAGAGTCCAGAGGAGAGCCATGTGCATGATTAGAAGTCAAGAGAACAGGTCTTATGAGGAAAGGCTGAGGGGCATGGGAATCTTCAGCCTGGAAAAGCGAAGGCTCAGGGGGGACTTGGTGGCTTTCTGTAAGTATATGAGGGTGTAACAGGGGACCCTAGCCCTGTTACCAGAAGGCACGTCTGCCCCTTTAAGGCCAGAACTTTCTGGGCATGGAGTGCTGGGAAAGAAGGGGTTAAATGCTGAGTCTGGCCAGCTAGTCAGCTGACCGGAAGGGGCAGGAGTATAAAAACCCTGGGCGGAGCTGCTGGAGGGGAAGGAGTGCCTCAGAGAGTTCCATGGAGAAACAGTCTAAAGGTGGTAAGAGGGGAGCCATGGAGGACCCGGAGAGACAGCAACCCCATCACAGCAAAGACATGAGCTGACGGTGGGGAGCCGAAGCACGGACCCGGTGAATGTAAGCTGACACGCTGCTTTTCCTTATCATGTTAGCTGGTGGCGGTTATAACCCATAGATGGGACTGTATGTTTTGTTTTGTTTTTTTTCTTTCTGATTAATGAATAAGACCGGCGGTTTGGGTGAGGTTGTTAGGGTAAGGAGGAGGCCTCATTTTGGGGACCCACTATGGAGTGGGGACCCCAGCGAGGGTGTGGCTTTGGGGGGGGGGGAGCACAGACCCCAGTGCCAGCGAGGGTGTGGCTTTTTGGGGGGGGCACAGACCCTGGTGCCTGAAGGCAAGATCTTAAAAAGGCCAGGGAGGTCTGGTGCGCTTGTGGTGCAACTTTATTTTGGTATCTTTTTTTTTTTTTTTTTGGACTGGGAGGCTGCGAGCTCAGGGTCATCCCCTGGTTTTGAACTTGTGGCCCTTCGGCTGTGGGGTTGGTGCCCGGGCCCCTGGGCCAGGCTCCAGATTGGAACAGAAAAGAGGGCCAGGAGCCTCAAGACACTGGAAAAGGCTAGAGCCTTGAAGTCAAACCCTGTTTAGTTGGTTTAGATGGAGAGGCCTAGCCAGAAAAAAACAGGGGTCAGGCCTGTGTAGATGAAAGGCCCCAACCTACCCAAAGAAATAGGCAGTCTCCTGCTCACAAGAAAATCATCATAATAATTTCCATCAAGACGTGGTAGGTGAGTAGGTAGGTGGGACATAAGAACCCCAAAGAAGGCTCCAAGGGTGCCCCCATAAGGTGTGGATTACCAGGAAGATGGTGCTGGGGAGGTGACCTGTTACAGAGGAGTATGCACCAGGAATTGGGAGAATGTCTGTTTTACCAGGACACCCCAAGGGAAGACAAGGTCTAATGGTCACAAACTCTGGGAAGACCATTTTAGGCTGGACATAAGAAAAATCTTCTTTACACTCTGAGTCCCCAGAGTCTGGAATAGATTCCCTGCAGAAGTGGTGAAAGCACTTACTCTGGACACCTTTTAAGACACTTGGATCCCTATCTTGCTGGGATCATTTGACCCCAGCAGCCTTCCTGCCCCTTGGGCATGGGGCTGGACCCGATGATTTTATGAGGTCCCTTCCAGCCCTAATGTCTATGAAATTTGCATCATCACAGAGCCTCACAAGAGAGCTAAGAGACTCCTTACTAGCTAAGAACTGCCTGCCCAGAGGAGTATTCTATCTATTGACCCCTCTGTGAAATCCTATGAAATATGAGCTTTTATTTCTACCCAGGAGAACTTTTACAATGTTTTCTCCAATGCCTGATGAAGGGTGTTTGTGCCTGAAAGCTAAGATAACATTTTTGCAAAAAAAAAAAAAAAAAAAAATGTTGGTCTAATAAAAGATCAAATTTACCATGAGCCCTGATTTATAGATATCACCTCTACTCGCCTGCTCTCACTTGTTTGTCCATTACTTTTGTAACTTTTTGCATGTCAAATTGTCCAATCCCCTGGTTCTATGCCAAGCATGGTGCACCCATCCCCTGACACTGTGCCAAGCACATTCCTTATAGGGAAACTGTTGTAATTTGCTTGGCCAGTGCCTAATTGCAGCACTCACATCTCCCAGTGCCACAGAAGGTGCTCTGTTCAATTCTGTTGCTTAGCTCCAGAAGGCCTGGACTTGGACTATGGCTAAAAAGCCTTAGCATAAATCTCAGTTGCCTGCTACATGAGAATTTGGTGTTTTCTACATTTCTCATGAGGCTGAAGTAGGTTCCTTATTTCCAGTTCCTTATTCCTGATTCCCATACTTAGTATGGTGGGTGGGGGGGAGCTGTCAGTTGGCAGCCTGGCACAGCCAAGCTGCGCTTTGAGCTGGGCAAGATGCTAGTCAGGGATGTTCCCTTGTGATACCCAAGCATGGTGTGGGGTGGCCCAAGGATTTTCAGCCATAATCCCAACACAAAAACCAGCGCCTTATTTGACTCCATATACTTAGTACAGTGGGCATGGGAGGTTGTCTGTTGGCAGGGCCAAACTGCTTTGGGGTGGGCAGGACTGCACTCAGGGGTCTTTGGGTGCATCGACAGGATGTTTGGGGTGGCTCAAGAAGTATTTTGCCCCATAATCTCATCCTAATCTGATCTTCATTTAGGGCTCTGTATTTGATGCAGGATATTAATTCACATATTAATAGGTAAATAAGTATAGCTAATGCAATTCTCTCTCTTTAAAATGTGTAATTCATTGATTAAAAAGCTTTTATTGGGTCTAGATTAGCTTTGAAAAAGGAACTGGGAATCAGGAATAAAGCAGCAACTTCAGCCTCCTCATTTCTCTGCATTGTTGGTGCTTTTAAGAGCCTCGTCCAGACCAGTGCGGCGCGTCTCTACTGCAGGAAGGCGCCGTGGCCTGGCAGGAGGGGGCCGGAAGCTGCCATGAGAGTGGCGGCAGGGCGTGCAGGCCCGGAACCCGCCATGGCGGTGGGGACTGGAATGGTGCGGGTGCGGCAGGGGCTGTACCTGGGCGGTGCGGAGGCGGGCGCGGCGCCGGGGGCTCTGGAAGCGGCGGGGGGGGGGGCCCTCCGCCCGGGGGGTGGGGGGGGGGGGG